ATACTCCACACCAGTATTAATCGACGCTACATATTTCTCGAAATGAATTGTCATCCTCAAATGTGTGTTTATTATACATCTAAGAACGGAACTCACAAACTTAACCTACAAAGGAAGAGAAATTGCTGACAGCCCAATTCAATATACTTACAGAAACGAACACTTTGCTAAAGGCCCATGAGGGGGATACCTAAACTCCGCCGCAGTTGTCTTACATATACAATAAAGAATAAAATATAAACAAATGAAAAGATTTTTATACATCACGGATGACCTTCCGTGTATCATATTCCACCACAGACATCACCTATGCTTACTACCATAGCATCTGCACACAGCCCCTTGCAACGCAAGGATGAAAAGGCGAAACAAACACTCGACATCTTAATTATAAAAAACTAATTTATAAGTTTATAACAAAAGAGAATCGAGAAATCAGTCAAATATTGTGCTGATATAGATTGTTCCGCACAAATAAAGTGATTTTTAAATTAAAGTGCTAATAATCTATGGCCTTCGGGTTGTTATGTTTTGGACAACTGTCCTGAATCCATAGAGAATGTATTTGCTTCAAAAACAAGAAATGCCACATTGTTTGCCATGAGCACAGATTTTGAATGTAGAATGAGTAAGAGAGTGATTTGTCAGTGAATTATGTGCTGCATAGAAGATATCATTAATTCTATACTGACTTCTTAAATCATATATTCGTGTGTATTTTAAATCATCTCTGTATAAGATTAGGATCTCATTTGCGATATGTTTGTTGGCAAAGCAAATAATTACACTTTGAAATTTCGCCCTCTTAATCACCATAATAAATTTAAAATCGACGCACATAAACAAACACAAAATCTATAAACAAATTTTGTATTTAGGCACACATTGTTTCTTAGTATTGGTATTAAAAATAATATAAATGAAAGCGTACAGAGGCGCAAGAAACTTGACTTCGCTTGATTCGTGTGTATTAGGGGCTCCTTTTTTGCCTATAGGCAGTCTATATTTACTGTAAATTTGAATTATTCGTAAGTACCCTTTTTATATTTGTTGGGTGAGATGGTGGGGTATGAAGATGTGACCTGAGCCAGGCATCTGAAAATGTCACTGAATTAGTGTCAACAGAATCTAATGTATGACTCTCAGTAATTCCTTTTATATTACCCTAAATTATTTTTTGTTATTACACAAACATAATATATAAAGGGGGCATTTCTAAAATGTTCATCCCAGCATAGTAGACTACAGTGTATGTTATTTGATCAGTAGAGTAGAGTAGAGTAGAGTAGAGTTTATTTACATTCCATAGATCCTTCTTAGGACTCAACCAAAGGATGTAGAACATGTCATTTCATACAATATACATACACTTCAGAACTTTCAACACACGTACAAGAACGTATTTCATTTCATTACGACTGTTCTCATGGCAAAGCATGCAGAGCTTAATTTGGGGACAACATACTCGATGTGTTTTTTCCAATTTAAGGTATTGTCGACTTGTAAGCCAAGGAATTTGTTTGTTTCAACTTCCACAATTAATTTTTCTTCAAAACCTATATTTAATCTAGGATATGTCTTGTGCTTAGTAACAAATTTTATGAAGT